CTTTCTGTCCGTGTGCACTCAGAGAACTGTGTATATGAAGTTTAAACTCATATGGTTTAAAACGCATGATTTCAGGCGATAAAAATGATAATCAGAACCAAAACAGATATTTTTAGCAGGTATGAGCTGTAATGGCGTAGCTCTATTCTGGAAAAGGGGGCGGGGATCAGCAGCTCATTTGCATTTAAAGAGACAGGCCCGAAAAACAGCGTGTTTCTGCTTCCACTCAAAATAGGCATTTTCAAAATTATATAATAAATGATCTGTGGAGTATTTTGAGCTGAAACTTCACAGACACATTCTGGGGACACCAGAGACTTATATTACATATTGTAAAAAGGGGCATAATGTGTCACCTTTAAAAATCTTAACCCCAAAAAACAACATAAAAACTGGGACAACATGACACAAACTTAACAGAACCATCCCATCTTGAAAATTAAGACCTTTCATTCATATGGTCACACAGCGACAGTTTGTCTGCATTCAATGTGTTGCTTTCCTTTTCTGTTATTATAGTACAACCATCCTTATCAGCTCTATCAGACCAATAAAACTAGCTCAAAGCACTATGACATCAGCAAACCATTATCTTCATCTGGCCACGTAAACACAGCTTACCTTTCAGCAGAGGTAGCTGCACCAGCTCTATGGGCTTGTCCTGAGATCTGAACTGGGACGAGCTCTGTGCTCGCTTTTGCCTGGCTTTCCTGACCGACTTCCTGGAGAAGCCGTCCACCTTGTCCACTGACGGGGCTGTGGTGGCTGCTGAAGACATAGCCCTGTGCCAGAGAGAGTTTATGGGTGACAAAGAAAGAGGAAAATAGAGTGATAATGTGCAGAATGAACGGAAATCTTGCACAAAATGAGGCTAAATTGAGGGGAAAAATCATGGTGACCTCATTTCCATGTACTTCATAGTTAGTTTAAGTGGACAAGAAACAAATCATTTGAAAAATTTAGATGAGAAAAGACCCATGTCTTAATGCAACCCACTGAATGGACTTTTTCATTCATGTAAATTTTTCAACTTTTTCATTCATGTAAATTAAATATGGCACAGTAATGAAAGTCCATAGCACTTAATGGCTGCATCTAAATATGCATTACTACATATTACCATCTAAATATCCCCTACTAGAATAGTGTGTGAAAAAGAGTAGCATGTCTGAATTCACGGTATTCATAAAACAGTAGGCAAAATGTATCCTGCTGACCTACTACTTCCATCGAGACTTTGAAGCATGCATCCAGTGGACACTTTAATATCCCATGAGGCTACGGGAGAGGAGTTGTGAATGGCAGTGAAGACATATTCACATGTTTGGCTTTACTGAGCAGCAGAACATTCAATCTAAGTGACAGAAGCAAGTGAGCTTCCTATGCAAGAGGCATTTTAAGCCATCATAGACACTCTATATGTAATTATTTATTATTTATTATTCATTATCATTAAAGATGTGCACTTGAGCCCTCAACCTGTACCTGCTTTTGCCTTTCAAATGTAATGTTAGTAAACAGCGGTCGGCCATTACAGGTTAAATTGTACTTAGGCTGGTGTCCCTGTGGCTTCTCAGCCTTACGTAAGGGCTCAAAACACACCCACAGGAATGCCATGCACTGGGATTACCATGGGCCGGATGGGACAGGAAGTGATCAGGCTTTAGTACTGCTACCAGGCAGAGCAGGAAGTGGAGGAGTAGCAGAAGGAGGTGGGGACTTCACACTGTACAAGTGTTGAGCAAGGCCATATCTCCACTCGAATGGGGAGGAGTAGCGTGTAACGTTGGACAAAAAGCCAAGCGACAAAAAATAAAACACAAACCAAAAACAAAAACCAAACAACAACAAGAACAAAACAAACCCCAAACCATTAAAAAATTTTTTAAATACATCAACAAATACCAAATCAAAAATTAAAAACAATACCAAAAACTAAACAAAAACAAATTGAAAATTACACTGGTTGTACCACGCCATGCCTTTTTTTTTAAAGTAACAGTTAGTTCATTTATAATTGGACATGACTGAACGTAAAGAATAGAGGTTGCATGGATAAGTCAAGAACCGTTCTGAGAGATTCAGTAAGTGAGTGAATCAGACTCATTCAAACCGATAAACCAAGAGTTCAGGTTTGTTTTTAGGTGCTTAAAAAGGCAAGAATGTGATTGTAGAATGTAGAATGTGATTAAAATTATTCATCTTGAATACAAACCAGTTCTTGGTTCCCAACCCCACCGGTCTTTTCAGCTAAAATGTTAACATCCTGACACTCTGCTATGGTAGGAGCCAGATGACAGTAACAGACAGCTGATTAATTTCACAGCATGCGCAGATACTTTGTTCTTGAGAGAAAATCTACAGGGGGTCTATGGATGTGACCTTCTGTTCTGCCCTGTGTCCTACATTTGGGACACATCAATTTCAGAACCAAATTACCAAAAAGAAACCTAAACGAAGACCAGACAAAACAAGGGGGCCATTAGTGTATCATCAGTTTATAATAAGGATGTCACAATACCAAAAATATAATACACTCTTAAAAATGCTTGGTTGTTCAACCCAACTTTGGGTCAAAAATTTAATGTAAAAATTTAACCCAACGGTTGGGTTAGTCCATATTTGACCCAAAGTTGGGTTGAAACAACCCAGCATTTTTTAGAGTGTAGTCAGTACTGATACCACTTTTTTAATGCACGACGTGAAGGCAAGACTGACGCGAAGCTACGGCTCGTTAGCTCAGTATTCTGCCCACTTCAGATCAGACAGATGAAATAGTGTGGTAAGATCACATTTATTTGAATTAATTATAACATTTAGCTACTTGAATTAATTATTTGATCGAGAGAGAGGGAGAGATAGAGAAGTGTGTGTGTGTGTGTGTGAACCTGCGTCAGCGCGTCTCTCTACAAACATGCAAGTTTAGTTACCCTCTCCTTGCTAAATACTTTTGTGATCTATTTTCAAAAGGGAAATACTGACATGGATGTTTACAGAGCAGAGGTCACCTTTTTAATTCCAATTGGAGAGATAGACATTTGTTTTTCTTTATTATTATTATTTTGTGCTGTATTATTGGTCACGGTGTTATTTCTGTTTCTAAAGGCAGCAATAAATAACACTTTATTA